GAGAGACGCATGTCAAAACTCCCACTTAAAATCATACACTAAGTCTCCCGTAAATGCTGTATGCCGCACACAAAGTAGGCACACACATACTTGTTACAACAAAGACACGCATACCCCCCCACTCCAGGCTTAAAAAAGTCGTTCATTGGTCCCGACTCTCTCAGCGTGTTCCGGGGGTGGTGGATTGCAGGGCCCTTTGGCAATTGCAGAGATTAAAATGTCATATTTTCTAATGTCACCCGTAAAAAACATGGTGCAACCTTTGACTAAACACTCCTGACGAGGCCTGTCAGCATGTAGCTACAGGCCCCAGAAGGCTCCAGCAGCTCTGCAGACATCATCACTTTTAGCCCATATGTGTTTAGCACTGCTCACTAGAATACCATCCCACAATGTCCTCCCCAGCCACTGGAGTACATGTCCTTGAAAAGCTCAGGCCTTTAATGCAGTCTTTTTAAAAATGAACATCAGTATACAGAACTGAGCGTATCTACGACTGGGCATGGAATGATGTATTTTGGTAACACTTTAGATTAGGAAACACTATTAACCATTGGCTTATTAGCATGCATAATACCAGCATATTGTCTGTATATTGGTACTTATAAAGCACATATTAATGCATTATTCTGCATGACCATATTCTAGATTCCTTAACCTACCCCATACCTAAACATAACTACAAAAACAACTACCTAAGCAGTAATTAGGAGTTTTTGAGGGAAAACTCTTAAGGCTGAGGATTCATGGGACAGCTTTTTGAGCAATTTTGTCAAGCAACTTTTTTTGAGCAATGTTGCTTAGGCACTTTCCCATTGAGAATGGGTAACAAATTTCTATCTGGATATTTTAGATTGGTCGTGGGCCCCGTGTCTCACCTGGTTGCCCGTTGACATTTCCCAAAGTTGCCTGGCAGCATTGTTCAAAAAGTTGCCCAGTGTATCATCAGCCTTAGTTAATGGTAAATATGTGTTCTTTAATCTAAAGTGTTACCTGTATTTTTTGTAAAGCCAAAACTCGCAAACGAGTTAGCATTTTAGCACTACCTCTTACATTGCCCAAGTCAATTAGTTTTTCGAATGTTTTTTTGTCGTTCCAATCACAAGTGGACAACACTAAATACAGGGTCTGAAACATTTTAAAGGGTTAGTTCACCCAAAAATTTAAATTCTGTCATTAATTACTTAATTAATTAATTACCCTCATGTCGTTCCAAACCTATAAGACCTTCGTTCATCTTCAGTTGAACCCCTGATGTCACATGGACTATTTTACCAATGTCCTTACTATGTTTCTGTGCCTTGATCGTGGTAATATCCTTGCTGTCTGTGAAGGGTCAGAGAGCTCTCAGATTTCATCAAAAATATCTTTATTTGTGTTCCAAAGATGAACGAAGGTCATGAGGGTGAGTAATTAATGACAGAAATTGCATTAATGGATGAACTAACCTTTTAAGCTTGTAAGTGCAGATGCTCATGTGGTCAAATGCATTTGAACAGCCACTAAATAGCGCCTCCTCTCTGCCTACTGACCTAATTCTAAAACATTACGGAATGTATTCATGAAGCACGCTAGACTGACAGGATTTAAATGTTGCCTTCTGAAATCATCTGAAATCAAGTTCGAAAGTGAAAAAGCACAATTTCCTTGTCCTGGTTCTAACACAAATGAAAGCTGTTGCTTGCCATATCATTTTCTGTTGTACCCTTTCACATTCATATGTTAATTGTGCAAGCTTATTCCACAATATTAGATCAAAATAAACCCATACATACACCCGCCCATAGACCCTTTCCCCTCAGGAAAGTGGTTGATGAAGGACAAAAGAGACAAATCAAAATACCAACTGTGATCCAGTCGACCAATCTTAATACCAGGTGTAAACAGGGCCAAAGGGACTAAGGAGGTTGTCAGGAACATTTAAACGTCATTAGATTTTCATGATGCACAAAACACACAAAAAAAATCATAAACCATTTTTGGTTACAGAGTTTATTTTAATTCAAAAACCAAAGGAAAAATCATGTTGATTTTTTCGGAGGAAAACAGGATGATTCTTACTTCTGCGTTGGCCTACATGAATACATAATCACTGCACCACTCTATAAGACATTGTGTAACACTTGTGTAATGTGATGTATTTCAGAAAGAAACAGCTCATTAAGAAGAAAATGACCATTTCCCCAGCCAAAGATTTGGGTTTACTGCAGACAAAAAAATGTTATGATAAAAAGTAGTTTATGAATAATTAAAAAGTTAAAGTCATTATTTTGTCTTCTGAGAAGCAAGTAAACATCTCACATAACTTCTAAAACTAAGTTCTAAATGAAAAAAGTGAGAACTTTAAACAAAATAAAAACATCAGTCACCTTGTTCAAAAGTTTGCTTTTAAAGGGTTAGTTCACCCAAAAATGAAAATTAGCCCATAAATTACTCACCCTCAAGTCATCCTAGGTGTATATCACTTTCTTCTTTCTGACGAATCCAGTCGGAGTTATATAAAAAATTGTCTTTGATCTTTCAAGCTGTTTCATGGCATTCAGCTGGTGTTGCATGCATCAGTCCAAAAGAAGTTAAATAAAAAGTGCCCATCCACAAAAAAAGTGTCTCACACGACTCCGGGGGGTGAACAAAGGCCTTCTGTAGCAAATTGATGCATTTTTGTAAGAAAAATATCCATATTCAAAACGTAATAATCACTTTAATGTAGCTTGCACCAAAAGTCCTATACGGAAGCAGCTCCGGGCGGATGACATTTGAGGCCAGCTTTGCGCATGTGCCGCTCAGAAGTGACGAATGCGTAAGTGCAGGGGAGAGATCAAAACAAAACAACGGTCACTTATTAGAAGTACAAAATGAGGATTTGTAAAGAAGAATGTCGGAGGATTTCGATATAAGCCAAGAAGAGACTGGTTTTCCTTTGCTAAAGTAAGGAAACTTTGCTTCCTTTGCTCCTGTTAACAAACGTTGGTTTTCACGAGACTCACCGGTGCATGAGCAACGCTGAACTCATAACTCATCAGCCCGGAACTGCTTCCGTGTACAACTGTTGGCGCAAGCTACATTAAAGTGATTATTACGTTTTGAATATGGATATTTTTCTGACAAAAACGCATCGATTCGCTACAGAAGGCCTTTGTTCACCCCCGGAACTGCGTGAGACACTTTTTTATGGATGGGCGTTTTTATTTAACTTCTTTTGGACTGATGCATGCAACACCCGCTGAGTGCCATGAAACAGCTTGAAAGATCAAAGACAATTTTTTATATAACTCCGACTGGATTCATCTGAAAAAAGAAAGTCATATACACCTAGGATAACTTGAGGGTGAGTAATTTATGGACTATTTTACATTTTTGGGTGAACTAACCCTTTAACGTCTTCTCCAGCATCAGTCAGTGTTTCGCCCTTTGTAATAGTCCTTCAGTTTTCTTCAGTTTGAAAAGACAAATCTCTAAACCATATCGTCACCATTGGAAAGTGGTCAAATGTGCAGAAGATTCTGGAAAACTATAAAGAAAAGTTTGGGATGATTTTTTTAGCTTATTTTTACACTTGCTTTGCCTCATTTTAAAGAATTTTAATAACTTTTGAGGCCCCCTTGTAAGTTTGCTTCAGCCCCCTATTGGGCCCTGGATTCCTGCTTAACAATCACTGCATTAACATCAGCACTAAACTGCATTTGATTTTGTGACTTAGCAATTGTATTCTACTCAGCGGATGCATCAGCTTGCCGAGAAACTCCCTGCAGACAGATTAGACATTTAACAGTAATTATCTTCAAATGCGTTTGTCGAGGGCTGAATTATTTTTTATCGTTTAGCCTGGAAATGTTTTACTTCTGGTAGACCGTCACACATAAAAACAAAGCTACTAATTATGAACCCATCATTCAGAACGACAGCAATGCCATCATTACAATCATTCCAGAAACCTTTATCTCCCTTTAGAGTCCCACAAATCCCCTGTCTCTGAAAACAGACCTGTTATTTTATTTAAAAATCGCTCATTTATTCATTTCCTACTGCTCTTGTGGTGGGCTCAGTAGTTCTACGAATTATACAAAGAGGCAAGATAAATGGTGTCACATGTGAATATTTACAAAAGTATGCACATGTCATTAGTTGAACAGTGCCAGCTTAATTACATTGTTGAACAAGTGTGTGAATTATGCATTGCATATAACAAATTAGATTGTTATATACTGTGTATACAATTTATAAGTTTGTTCTGGTCCCTTAAATGATTTAAAATAGTCAATTAATCTAGTTTTAAACCATTATGAATTTCTTCTACTGTGGAACACAAAAGACAAAATCACCTATTTTATATATAATGAACGTAAATGAGGACTAAATGACAAAAAAGCACCATAAAAATGGTCCGTACTCATGTTGCATGGAAACAATTAACAATACATACATTAAAATGTATCTGTTTTGTTGCATAGATTAAACTACATAAGAGTTGATGCCTCAGTTTTCTTTTTTGGTTGATGTTGTTGTCATTATACAAAAATAGCTGATATTTTGCTGCTCGGTGCTGCAATTGACCAATTAAAATCAAGTGTTCCAGACAGCTGTTCAGCCAAAAAATAAAATTGTCATCATTTACTCACCCTCAGGTTGCTCCAAACCTGTATGAGTTTCTTTCATCTGTTGAACACAAAATAAGATATTTTGAAGAATGTTGGTAACTAAACAGTTGACGGTAGCCATTGACTTTTATAGTATTTTTTACTAGTCGGAAGTCAATGGCTAAGAAGTCAACTGTTTAGACAGAATTTTCATTTTTGAGTGGACTATCCATTTGAAATAATAGTGTACTAGTGGCGTGATTTTCAAATTTTTCTTTTATTCAATTTCTTTGTATTTAATTGTCAGGTTTTTTTTGTATGATCACTGATGCTCAGTCCTACGACAAGAGCTGATAGCACAATTTTCACTTTTGATTGAACAAATCCTTTAAGGTGAAACTATGCGTTTGTTTTCATAAACAGCGTCAGCTCCCGTGTTCAGCACCAACCCTTTCCGGCTCATTGCAACCGTTGGAAAAGACGTGTCTCTGGAGTGCCGTCCACGTGCGTCACCCAAACCCAGAATCTCATGGAGGAAAAATGATAGGAGAGTCCATGCCAGCCGAAGGTGAGTCTAAATCCCAGCTGAAGCTCAGTTAGCTCTGTGACTGTACATGTTTTGCATGAAGGTGTGATAATTATCAGGATTCAGGATGAAGCAGTGGCAGTCCACTCCTAAGGGTCCATGTTTTTAATTGATTCCAATTAAATATGCCCATAAACACGCATACATTTACATGAATCTGTGTGCACAGGGGCTTTAATCAATGTTCTTGTCCAATGATTACCGGTCTCACGCTGGGTTCGGCTCTGCTGAGGTGCGATGTGATGACAGGTTTGTAGGTTTGTTTGCACTCACAGAGCTATTAGGCAAGTTTGCTGTGCAGGGTTGCATTGTGATTGATGTCATGTTGATTTCTTATTTATTAGTGTGTGTGTGTGTGTGTGTGTGTGTGTGTATGCTCAGTAGAAAAAATGCCACTTTTGTTCAGTGAGGATTCATTAAATTAATCAAAAATGTCAAATTAAAAGATTTTACAAAATAAATAAATAAATATTTCAAATAAATGTTCTTTTTAACTTTTCGAAAAAATGTACCATGGTTTTCACAAAAATATTAATCAGTAAAACTGTTTATATATATATGAAAACTGCCAAACTGTATTGGCTGCCAAAAAATCAGCTTCTGCATCACTGAATAAATGCCATATTAAAATGTATTAAAATTGAAAACATTTATTTTAAATTATAATGATATTTCATAATATTACTGTTTATATTACTGTATTTTTGATCAAATAAATGCAACCTCGGTGAGCAAACACATACAAAAATTACCAATCTCAAATATTTGAATGGTAGTATATTTAAATATCCGAAGTCATTCTCACTACCATCTCAAGATAACACCAATTAAATATTCAAACGTGCGTCCATATGCAAAAAGAGAATGCAGAATTATGCAAAATTAAAGTAGCACCACTATGATGCCTTTAACAACAGTGAAGTGTACAGTTTAGTGGTCATTATACAAAAATAATGAATATTTTACTGCTCAAGGCTGCTTTTGACCAATCAGAATCAAGTGTTCCATAGAGCTACATAATAAGCGTGCGTAATTAAGTTAACAGTACATTATTGGCATTATTTGTAGTTGTCCATTTTTTTTTTATTATTAATTAATTTATTTTATTTTTATTTTTTTGTACGGTCACTGATACTCAGTCCAAAAAATGCTTATTGAGATTTCAGTCTTTTGTCCTTATTACAGTCTAAGATGTTTGGAAAGGATGACATTTTAAAACGTGCACATTTGAACAGAATGCAGGGTTAAATGTAACCCATTCGAGTCAGTTAATGTATGACATTCTGCTTTACTCATCTGTTAAGGTCTTGTACATGTAACCTCATTAGAATTAAAATATAGATTGTATGAGCCATAATACCGTAGAGCCTGTTGGCTGATAGCTCATCCGCTGTAGACGTTCATTTATGCATAATCTTAAATCAGCATGAGGAAAATGAGCGCTAGCCCATGTACAAGCTCTTGATGGAGAAGACGTGTCACTCATCATGAGTGACAGATCTGAAATTATCAGCCCCCGTCGAGCGCTGTAGGCTACAAGTCTGTGAAAGGACTGCTGTTTAATAACTGAGAGTCTTCACCACAGACACGTCTAGACGCAAGGACCTATTCATCTGAAAGAATTCATATTATTAATATTATTTCCATGGTGTCATTGGTTGGGTTGTGATGCTTTATAAAATAAGCTAAATAGGAAACTTGGACAGTTTGGACGACTTGGACAACTTGTCTTAGTTTGCTGCTATTTTTGGTTTTGTTTATATGAAATGTCAATACAATACAACTTTGGTACTTTTGGTAGAACCAAATCACAGTTTGATTGAACTCATAGCCTTCAGTGTCAGAAAGAGATAAAAGTGTCCTCCCTTTTAAAGGTTGATAAACCTATATATTTACCTCTCTTCTATCTATAAATTCACCCAAAAAATAACAGCATGTCATCATTTGCTCACCCTAACCTTGTTCCAAAGCTATAAGACTTACTTGTTGTGGAACACAAAAGAAGATATTTTGAGAAATGTCCCTGTCCCCCTTTCTTTCCCCGCTGTACAATAAAAAGTCAAAAGTTGTTTTGGACCCAACTGACCTTCATTGTATGGGCAAAAATGGCTGAAACAAATATGTAAATTATGACAGAATATTATTTTTGTGTGAACTATCCCACCGAATTACACTATGCATAATGTGGTTGGTTACATTTTTATAATTTTGTATTTGTGTTCTATTTTCTCTGCTGTCCATGACACTCTCAGAACAGACCTGCGACAGTATAACAGTACTGATAGACTCTCTCTCTTTACACATTTTTAAGTGTCGTCATCCTTAGAATTCACACCTTGCTTGCTTTTGAATGCCGTGTGCCACATGCACCAAACGTGAGCTAATTTACTCCTGCCAAGACTGTGATGAAACCTGAAACACTTATGAAGCATGTGTCTCTGAAAAGATTTTTAGTACTTTAACATATTCCTATTACAGTTCTCTTTTCTAAAGGATATGCATGTCCAAAGTTAATGCTGACATTTGCATTGCATCATTTTGCACTAATTTGTAACCTTTACATGATCACCTATTTTCATAATAAGATGCAAATCCACAAATGATCTTAACTCTATAGAGCCTACTGTATCATATTTGAGATGCAAATTTCTAAGGCCTCTAAATGATACAAATTTTGCTGAAAAAAAAAATACTGGTGTACACAATCTTCTACAAGCCTTCAGTTAACTGATTGATAGTTTATATTTATTTTATTATTATTTATTTTATTTTTTTCAGCAAGTAAAAGGCCATTTAGTATAACAAAAAAAATGTCCCACTACAGGTCAGGGCAACACCTGTGTCTCTGAAAAGATTTTTAGTACTTTAACATATTCCTATTACAGTTCTCTTTTCTAAAGGATATGCATGTCCAAAGTTAATGCTGACATTTGCATTGCATCATTTTGCACTAATTTGTAACCTTTACATGATCACCTATTTTCATAATAAGATGCAAATCCACAAATGATCTTAACTCTATAGAGCCTACTGTATCATATTTGAGATGCAAATTTCTAAGGCCTCTAAATGATACAAATTTTGCTGAAAAAAAAAATACTGGTGTACACAATCTTCTACAAGCCTTCAGTTGACTGATTGATAGTTTATATTTATTTTATTTTTTTCAGCAAGTAAAAGGCCATTTAGTATAACAAAAAAAATGTCCCACTACAGGTCAGGGCAACACCTGTTTTTTTTTGTTTGTTTGGGTTTTTTTGCTGTAAAATCCTTACTGATTTTTATAAAGTAAACATGAGAATGATATTTCAAGGTGGACACTTGCCGAACTGAAGCAGCTTAGGTTTACTTGAGTATCCATATATCATGTTATAGAAAAATGTAAATGTTTATATATTTATCTTTGAATCATCATTGTATTGCGTTGCATTATGTTTTGCCCGCCACAATAAAAACTACAGAGCTCTGATCATAAAACTAAGAATTTAAATTTCAGTCATAAGGGTAAATTTTTTTAAATTGAGATTTATACATAATAAATAATAAGCTTTCCATTGATGTATGGTTTGTTAGGATAGGACAATATTTGGCCGAGATACAACTTTTTGAAAATCTGGAATCTGAGGGTGCAAAAAAAAATCTAAATACTGAGAAAATCGCCTTTAAAGTTGTCCAAATGAAGTTCTTAGCAATGCGTATAACTAATCAAAAATTAAGTTTTGATATATCTACGGTAATAAATTTACAAAATATCTTTATGGAACAAGATCTTTACTAAATATCCTAATGATTTTTGACATAAAAGAAAAATCGATAATTTTGACCAATACAATGTTTTTTTGGCTAGTGCTACAAATATACCCCAGCGACTTAAGACTGGTTTTGTGGTCCAGGGTCACATATTCATATACATTTTAGGTAAGTGCTATACTGTTACAGTTTTTTTTTTTCAATTGCTAACAAGCGTTTACCAATACTTAAAGCACTTTTTCTAAACTCTTAGCAACACACCTACATCACACAATTAGCCAAATAGTTCATTTTCTGGCCAAAACCACATTTTGTTAAATAAATGCAAACTCTACATTTCAAAATGCAGAAGAAAGTATGGACATAGTGCAAACATACATGATAGCGCAGACATACACAGGAATTATACATAGGAACACTACTGTAATATAACACTTATATAAGAAAAACAGAATATTAAATAATGCACTATATACTGAAGTAGAAATATAGAGGGAAAAAAACATGTAATTGTTTAAATGAATGTGCAGATGTTATTTACAAGTGTGCAGTTCACTAATGAACAATTGTCAGTTTTCTATGCATAAATGTGTCAGCTATAATAGACAATGAATTGTTATGAATGTTTTAATTGTTCAGGCTGAAGATAGCCTGCGGGGGGTTGTTGTGTCTGGCTCATCTGGTGACAACAGTTGGAAGAGAGAGTGGGCTGGGTGTGTGGGGTCCAAAAGCTGTTTTCTTAGCCCTTGTCCTCACTCTGGAGGTGTAAAGATCTTGGAGGTTGTTGGGCAGGGCAGCACCAATAATCCTCTCAGTAGTCCTGACTGTCTGCTGTAGTCTCTTGATGTCTGATTTGGTAGCTCAACCAAACCAGACAGTTCTGGTCCAACTACTCCTCTCCCTGGTCCAACCAGTCCTTTTCCTCGTCCAACTATTCCTCTCCCTCGTGCAATTCTCCCTCCTCTAGACATTTTCTTTCTTTTTCTGCTTCTCTGTGTTGATCTGTATTGTTTTGAACAAAACCAATCCAGAGAGTGCCTTTGTATTGTGCATGGCCATGTAATGGAAAGACTTGGAATTATTCATTAAGATTGGAATCGGCTATTTCTCAATGATTAGTAATTAAAATAATTCTTATCAGCTCTTTTAAGCTGCTGTTGTTGCAGAAGCAGAGGCGTTACACTATATTTAAAGTTTGGAACATTAGGTTTCATTTTTGTCCTGCTGTGTTT